AAGACTTACGGAATCATCTTATCTCCAACCAAGATAGATGTTGAAAAGGAATCTATTGATTTTCTGGGATTAGTTTTAACCCACAAAGGTATAAAACTACAGGATCATATAATTATTAAGATCCGTGACTTTCTTGACATTATTCAAGATAAAAAACTGTTGGGAAACGTGCTAGTTTTAAAAACTTTTCGAGGGATTTAAATTCATAGATCTTGATTCATCACATAGAGACAAGTTTTATGAAAAAAAATAAAATAAAATATGATGTATTATTCAACTAAAAGATTGAATACTTACATCAAGGTTTGAGTAAACCTCAGATCTCTCCTCTAAAGTGAATGTTCTCACTTATTGTAGATCCCTTTTGCTAGACATCTTTTCCATGGATCTCCATCTTCTTGGTAATGGTCTTGCCTTTAGGAATCACTCATAAGCCTCCTTGAATGACCTTGGAAAACTAGGCTTGTGGGAGCCTCCATCAGATGAGAACATAAACCCTAATTATCTAGAGAGAGAAAATTTATTCCTTTTTTTCTTCTCATAAAAATCACCCCCTAAAATATACATAGACCATGTATATTTATAGGCAACATAAAAATAAAGAAAAGGAAACAACAAATCCTTCTCCATCTCTAATTCATATGTCTCAAATCTAATATGATTCCAATATCAAGTTGGGCTATGAGTGAGAATCCATTGGGCCTATTATTTTATTGGCTACAATGAATTAATAATTGGCCCGGTTCATGGACCCAATTCAATTAATTCATAAATTAATTTCTACTCCACTAAAAGAAATTAATTGAACTCCAATTAAATAATAAATAACCTCTAAGTCAATATTGCACTTTGACCCCTCTATGCATAATTAGTTATCGGATAAATATAGCCATCAATCCGACTACTTAATTAATATATTTATTTTGGTACCTTTGATTATTTCTGGCTCGATCACAATAAAACATTTGTTTGACAAAAATAATAATTTAAATAAATAAATATATAATAAATCATTTTGTCTAAAAACACACGAAGGCCTTCGAATTTACTTTGTGATCAACCATAATCAATACAAAATAAATACAAGTAGCAATGATGCAAATATTGAAAATATAACCCTCTAACTATTAATTATATAACTACCCAAAGTGTCGGTCTAAGGATCCCGAAGAATCCGCCGAACAAATCAAAGTAATTATTAATTAATAAAAGAGTCTATACTTTTCTTATGCTTAAGAGTCAAATGTCATGACGGTGATAGGGAGTAATTGCATACGACGGCTCTCGCAATATATCTCAACCTAATGCGGATCCAGTTCAAGTCTTAATTAATTATGAGTCCATCCATAATTACCGACTATGAACAATTTATAATTACTATTTATATATCATGCATTGATTGTCATCACATACATATATATAAATATTTCTTGTAATTAACTGGACACTATCAATTTCATAGTGAATCGAAACATAATACATTGAATTCACCAATTATATAAATCATAAATATTTCAGATATGTCAGGAACATATGTCAATACAATCCAGATAGGAATTTGCTATGCCAGGGCATATAAATCCCAACAAAAACAACTTCAAAGTTTTTTGGGCATCTTGAATTATGGACGCACTTTTATTAAAGGGTTATCTCAAAAGGAACTTCCATTAATAAAAAAAGCTACAAAAAAATGTCACTTTTGACTGGACTGATAGTGATACCACTATTATCAAACAAATCAAAGCTGATTTAGTCCATATCCCTGAAGTATATTTTCCTCAAATAGGAGATAAACTTATTCTTGAAACAGATGCATCCGAGCTCTGTTGGGGATGTGTTTTAAAAGCCATTCCAAAAGAAAAATGGAATGACGACACTCCGTCCTATCCCATTATCCGAGCTCGTAAAGCTCCAATCACCAAACTTCTTCAAAAAGAAGAGTTAATTTGTGGATACAATTCTGGAAAATTTAAACCCAATGACCAGAATTATATAATTTATGAAAAAGAACTTCTGGCAATAAAATTAGCAATCAAGAGATTTCATATCTACTTAGCACCAGAAGATTTTATTATTCGTACGGATAACCAAACCGTAAAGGATTTTTTAATCAACAAAAAGAATTGTTTAGATGGGCGATGCTTAAAATGGTTTAATGTTATTGCTCAATATTCTTTCGCTATTGAACATATCAAAGGAAATAACAACTTTCTTGCAGATTTCTTAAGCAGACCTCCAGAAATATCTAACCCCGATATTTCTCTTCCCATGCCTACAGATGGATGAAAATACTTTTCCACCAAAGGATAAAGATGGTTGGATCACGGTTGCTAAAGAAGCACTATCTAAACCAAGTCCATCACAACCACACAAATGGTTCGTGGTTTTTACAGGTCACCAGCCTGGCATCTATGAAACCTGGAATGACTGTCACAAACAGCTTCGTTCATTTAATGGTTCTTGCTTTAAAGCTTATGACACGCTTATAGAAGCCCAAACAGTTTTCTATAATGTGGGACAAGCTTCTCAAAAAATGTTTTCCAAAAATCCGGATATTGCAGAAATTAACAATTTCTAATATCCTGGTCTTCCAAACTATCTTTATGATGAAATTAACAATGTTTGGAAAGCACATAAACTCTGTGCCAATAAGAAATTCAGACAACATCTGAGTTCTCTTACAGCCCTCATCGATGAACAATCAGCCATGACGGATGAGCTTAAAAAGCTTTGCATCCAGATCTGTCTTACTATTGACTGGAAAAAAGATTTTTCTCTTTCACAAATAAATTGTTTTCTAAAACTCGCCCAGTTGGTAGGAGAACAAGATTTTGCACAAAATACATTTGCAAAAATCAATCGTATCTGTCTTCTTGAAAAAGCAAGAGACCTTTTTCCTCCAGATCTCTTTCGCATAATTTATCGCAAGGTTGAAGACCATTATGATATCATTCGATATTATTATGAAACTCTACACGAAGATATCAATACCTTTGATATGCTTTATAATTGCAAACGAGTCCCTAAATTTGCCTTTTTTATCATTCCTGGCATAGACTGGTACATGGAACCCATTGATTGGGGATTTGTAAACAAACTTACTTTCTCTTCTCATGATTCTTATCAACACTTCCCTGCCATGATAAAATCCATGATTTACAAAGTAAGCAAGAGATGGAACTACAGCCGCCATCTTACTTTTTGGATTTCCAGTTCCATTGGTAGTCGAGAAAAAAGTCGATTCTTTCAACCTTATCAAATATGGTATCTCAAACTCACCGCACATGATGAGTACGAGCATAATCTCCTCCTAAATTCCGAAGAACTTGCTAACAGTATTGTTCTATATTACTTCGAAATTCACAATTTTTTACACCTACAAGACACTGCAAGACGTCTTCTTGATGGCTCTTATTACAATCAAGAACCTGTCTTTTATTGTTGTGACGGACGCAGACTCTTTGTCACAACAATCACTTGTTATTATGGTGATGATATAAATGGTGAACACTAGATTCAGACTGCTATAGCATTTTTAAAAGAAATCATTAGCATGACTACACTTGATATCCCCTCCCGTGTTAAAGATGGCGCCGAACGCCTTAATCTTGAATGGGATATTGCGGATGCACAATCACCAGCCAGCACTCCTCCTTTTGATGAATATGAACTCCATAATATCATCAATGCAATGGAAGGGTAACGCTACCGACACTCGGTAACGCGACCGACCGAAACTCTCTCCTCCACTCGACTGCACCTCATCCAGCACACGACAGAAAGAGTTGTCATGTTCTCTTTTTCCAAAAGCAAAAGTAACCGAAAGCTGCCGACAAACGATTCATCAACAGTGAAAGTTGCCGACACTCACTTTTTCAAACAGTAAAAGAAAAGATTCATTCTTATCTTCTCCAGAACTGTTTACCTTTTAGAATATTATTTAAACCGAAGCTCCAAATTGGTTTTGGTATCTGTGTTTGTAAGATCTGACTATTAGTTTCCTCTTTGTAAATCTCCTTCTTGTGTAAACCTTCAGTTCTCGTGTAATTTCCGCCCGCATGTTATTATAATGTAATTGGTATTAGAGCCTACATCGAATCTGGACCATTGTAAGTTTTATGTACCTTATATTATAGTTTTCAGTATCTAAGTTGTGCTCTATTACTGTTTTAATTCTCATATGTTTAATTACTGTTGCAAGCCCATATTATCCTGTCTTTGCTTATATGTCAGTGTCTGTACGACTATTACGACAATCATTAAGCTGTCTACAGGAACTCTTGGTTTTAGGCACCATAACAGAAATCTAAACGCTTTGAGAATCCATAACTGTTTATATGGCCCAACATAGCTCTGTAAACTGTATCCGTAATCTTACTGGTCACGACACCGATGCCTACCGACATTCTCACTTCACCCACACAGAACCTATTGCGTTCACCCAGATTAGAGCAGGAGTAAACTTCCTTATTGATATGGTTACTGATTGGAAGATCGATTTCCAACATAATCTCGAGGCAACCAACACTCATATGGCTTCCTCCTTTGAAGATGCCCAACAAGGAATGATCTCCTTGAATGACAAACTTGAAACTCTTACCCAGATTTTCACCCTTTCATCCTCGCCGGATAATTCACTTCTTCAGGATCAAATAAATCAAATGACTATCGATTTAGCCAAACTTCAAAAAGCTAAAATGTCCGATTTATATCCACCTGAGCAACCAGATCCTCTTTCAAAAAAAGATTCTGCCCTTCCATCAGAAGAGTCCCTGCCCCCAGATCAACCCTCTGATGAAAAACCTCATCGCTATAGAGTCAAACCTCTTTTTTACGGTCATGAAGACAAAGTTGAAAACATTAAAGTTTTCTCTGAAACCTCTTCTTCCAAATATCGTCGAGATGATTATGAAAGCATCATAGATTAGCTCAATTGTTTACAAGCACTATATGTAAACCCCAAACTCACCTTCGACGAAAGCGCTCATATCATTACCCGTATGAGACAGATCTCATTACAAAATGAGAATCTTCTGACTCATTTTGGCTACACGCCAAGCGAAAGCTCCAGTGACTCTGACGAAGAAAATACATCTGAAGACGAACAAATATACGCCTTTTCTGATAAGTCAGACTCCTCTGAAGAACTCGATGAAACCATTGAAGAAGATCCAATACCTACTTCCTCTTCCGATTCACCTATCGAAGAAGACCCAAAGCCTCGCCCTAGATCTAAAAAGTCTAAAGCTAAGAAACATCGATTTGATACGATTCTAGACGAATCTTTCTATGGCGACTTTCCCACTGAAGACTTTCTCCCTGCAGAAGAAGTCTCTGGTTCTGGCCAAAAGACAGATGAAGAAAAATCAAAAGCTGAACCCAAAAAACCTTCTGTCTATTCCTCCTCGTATAAATACGACTTTTCTACAGTTCCTACCTGGACACGAAAAGATGATCTTAATAAGTTTCCCATTTCTCAACATGGAACTTATCTGGACCTTACAAATGTCCCGTATAAAGACCATTTGAAAACCATCGACGAATGGGCGCAGTCCTTAGCCATCCTCGTCAATAACTATAAAGGAACCTGGGAACGCAACCGTTTCCTTGATTATATTTCAGCAACCCTACAAGGTGATGCTCTCGATTGGCTTCGACAATGGGATCAAACTTCTCAAGGCCAACGACAAAAGGATGCACTCTTAAACAATTTCGATAAAATCGATGGTGTATTAAGAGGATTTGTTAAGATTCTTAAAGAAGAATTAGTTGGACATACCGATGAACAACTCCTCACTGATGATGCAACCTGCGCTCTTTCGAAAATCGAATTATGTGACATTTGCCGTTTTCCGGACTACGTCAAGCTATTTACCAAATACTTTCGTAGACTTCCACCCAATGCTATTGAACATTGGTTACCCCAGTTCTTTCATAAGCTTCCAAATCCTTGGGATGAACTTGCAGCCAAAGGCTATCCCGATTTCCTAGTACGAATCCAAAAACCGGATAACATTGGTTTCCGCACTAATTTCGTATATCGTCTCATCAACGAAAAATGTCTTAAAACCAAAGCCAAGAAACAGGTCAAAAATCAGATCAGTAACACTGCTGAGGGCCAACGATGTTGCGACAAGATTTTACAAGAAACTTGGAAAATCGGTTGTGCACCTTCTAAAGCTACTCCTTCCAGATCACCACCTGCACGACGAAAAAATTTTCGTTGGAAACAATGGAAAGCTGACAAGCGCTCAATTCGCGCTTCAAAGAAGTACGTCACACAAGCTCCTTCTCCTCCCCCAAAAACAAAAAAAGGGAAAAAGAAAAAAGGAACCAAAAAATCCTCTAAGGCTTCTAAATCCATTGAAACAAAAAAGGATTGTAAATGTTATATTTGCAATGAAGCTGGTCATTATGCCACTAATTGCCCACAAAAAGGCAAGAAAGAATCCAAAATGATTAAGCATCTACAGACAGATAACCTCTGTGTTGTCTATGGTAGTGACATCACCGACCCCAATACCATTACGTCTCATCAATGAAAAATGTCTTGAAACTAAAGCCAAGAAACAGGTCAAAAATCAGATCAGTAACACTGCTGAGGGCCAACGATGTTGCGACAAGATTTTACAAGAAACTTGGAAAATCGGTTGTGCACCTTCTAAAGCTACTCCTTCCAGATCACCACCTGCACGACGTAAAAATTTTTCGTTGGAAACAATGGAAAGCTGGCAAGCGCTCAATTCGCGCTTCAAAGAAGTACGTCACACAAGCTCCTTCTCCTCCCCCAAAAACAAAAAAAAGGGAAAAAGAAAAAAGGAACCAAAAAATCCTCTAAGGCTTCTAAATCCATTAAAACAAAAAAGGATTGTAAATGTGATATTTGCAATGAAGCTGGTCATTATGCCACTAATTGCCCACAAAAAGGCAAGAAAGCATCCAAAATGATTAAGCATCTACAGACAGATGACCTCTGTGTTGTCTATGCTAGTGACATCACCGACCCCAATACCATTTTGTATGAACTTTCAAGCAGTACGTATACCAGTAGTTCTTCCAGTGCCACCACCAGTGATACAGACGACGATTTGACAGATATTGACACTATCTGCATGATGAACCTTACTCCATCCACACAAGATGAAAACACGAATATAAAGCTCAGTGACATCAATCAAAATAACTTCCCTCTTTCGACGCGGAACTGATCAACCTCTTATTGCCCTTATCATGGACAATCGATTTCATAAACCCGTCAATGCTCTTATCGGTGGTGTTCAATCAAATCTGGTCAATAATCTTATGTGGTTTAAAATCAAACCAAATTATTTCGTTTCGCTTTCTGATCCCAACATTGAGAAAGTTCTTCAAGTCAAACTTCAATTGTCCAAACTACAAATGGATTATGACTCCCCCAGTCTTGGAATCCAGTGGAAAGTTCTCTATGAACTCACTAGAGAACCTAAAACCACTACCGTTCCTACAATTGACTCAAAACTCGTCACTTTATTAGAACCAAGATCGTTTGACACCATAATTGAGCCTAAACTTCTCAATTGGACTGATCTTGAGATCCCCAAAACTTGGTTATTTGATAACATCAATTCGGAACCTAAGTTGCGAATTACAGAACCAACTGTAGCCACGATTCATGCCTCAGGATCAAATCTCTATGTTACAAACAAAGCGAAACCACCTCAGCTACAACGCTCAATTTCTGACAGAAATCCTGGATGGGAACGAATCCTTCCTCCACGAACTTCAGTCGATGTACCTCCTCGTCGACGTTTTACCTGGACAGAAAAAGGTAAAACTCCTGTTAACCCTAATGGCAATGCTCCCTTTCTGCCTGGTTCAAATCATTCAATGAACACAGCAAAATTTTTTCATTTTCGCACCGGCAATGATGAAATTTTAATAGCTCCTTCTCAAGGGAAAAAGCGCAAGTATACGTATGTCAACGGTATCTTTAACTTCAAAGGATATAAACCATATAGCCTTTGTGTCTTAATTGATACTGGCGCAACCACCAGTTGCTGTCGATATAATGCCATACCAGCCGAAAAATGGCAGCAAATGAAACACCCCATTGGAGTCCAAGGCATTGATGCAGAAGCTCCCATGAATGTGATTCAGTTTAAAGCAAAAGACGTTGCTATTTGGCTTAATGATAAAAAATTCATTATCCCAAAAATTCTTTGCTTCCCATACATGCATGGTGACTTTATTTTAGGATGTAACTTTATCTATAGTTACCTTCCCTTGCAGTTAAAAGAAAATACTATTTCTTTAACTCTAAAAGACCAAACTGTCGTTGAAATCCAAATTCAAGAGAATTTAGCCTCTGTCTGTAATGAAAAATTCTCTCCACCCAAAAGAGATACTGACTTGTTAGTCCTAGCCGATACCCATTGGCTATATGCTTCTTTACGCCAAAATTTTTCAGATAATCCACTTACCCTGTGGAAAAGAAGTCCTCGTTTTTGCAGCTTAAAACTCAAAGATGAGAATGTCATTATTCGAGTTAAACCAATGATCTATCTTCGAAAAGACATTGATGAATTTGATGCACAACTTCAAGAGCTCCTTGAGAAAAAACTCATTGAACGCACACGCAGTCCACATAGCAGCCCTGCATTTATGGTTAGAAACCATACTGAAATCAAAAGAGGTAAAGCCCGCATGGTCATCAACTATAAATGGCTTAATGAACATTTAATTTTTGATGGTTATTTTATCCCACGCAAAGATGTTCTGATAAATCAAACACGCGGAGCTAAAATCTTTAGTAAGTTTGATTGTAAAGCAGGATTTTGGCAGATAAAACTGCGGAAGAAGTCAAAGCCCCTTACGGCGTTTTGTAACCCTCGCGGCCACTATCAATGGACCGTTATGCCTTTCGGTCTGAACACAGCACCACAAATCTATCAACGATGGATGGATTCTATCTTTAATGATCTTAAAGATTTTGTTGTTCTTTACATAGATGATATTTTAGTTTTCTCTAAAACAAGAGACGAACATAAAAAACATCTTCTTTGTCTTTCAGACAAACTACTTACGGAATCATCTTATCTCCAACCAAGATAGATGTTGAAAAGGAATCTATTGATTTTCTGGGATTAGTTTTAACCCACAAAGGTATAAAACTACAGGATCATATAATTATTAAGATCCGTGACTTTCTTGACATTATTCAAGATAAAAAACAACTTCAAAGTTTTTTGGGCATCTTGAATTATGGACGCACTTTTATTAAAGGGTTATCTTAAAAGGAACTTCCATTAATAAAAAAAGCTACAAAAAAATGTCACTTTTGACTGGACTGATAGTGATACCACTATTATCAAACAAATCAAAGCTGATTTAGTCCATATCCCTGAAGTATATTTTCCTCAAACAGGAGATAAACTTATTCTTGAAACAGATGCATCCGAGCTCTGTTGGGGATGCGTTTTAAAAGTCATTCCAAAAGAAAAATGGATTGACGACACTCCGTCCTATCCCATGATCCGAGCTCGTAAAGCTCCAATCACCAAACTTCTTCAAAAAGAAGAGTTAATTTGTGGATACAATTCTGGAAAATTTAAAACCAATGAACAGAATTATATCATTTATGAAAAAGAACTTCTGGCAATAAAATTAGCAATCAAGAGATTTCATATCTACTTAGCACCAGAAGATTTTATTATTCGTACGGATAACCAAGCCGTAAAGGATTTTTTAATCAACAAAAAGAATTGTTTAGATGGGCGACGCTTAAAATGGTTTAATGTTATTGCTCAATATTCTTTTGCTATTGAACATATCAAAGGAAATAACAACTTTCTTGCAGATTTCTTAAGCAGACCTCCAGAAATATCTAACCCCGATATTTCTCTTCCCATGCCTACAGATGGATGAAAATACTTTTCCACCAAAGGATAAAGATGGTTGGATCACGGTTGCTAAAGAAGCACTATCTAAACCAAGTCCATCACAACCACACAAATGGTTCGTGGTTTTTGCAGGTCACCAGCCTGGCATCTATGAAACCTGGAATGACTGTCACAAACAGCTTCGTTCATTTAATGGTTCTTGCTTTAAAGCTTATGACACGCTTATAGAATCCCAAACAGTTTTCTATAATGTGGGACAAGCTTCTCAAAAAATGTTTTCCAAAAATCCGGATATTGCAGAAATTAAAAATTTCTAATATCCTGGTCTTCCAAACTATCTTTATGATGAAATTAACAATGTTTGGAAAGCACATAAACTCTGTGCCAATAAGAAATTCAGACAACATCTGAGTTCTCTTACAGCCCTCATCGCTGAACAATCAGCCATGACGGATGAGCTTAAAAAGCTTTGCATCCAGATCTGTCTTACTATTGACTGGGAAAAAGATTTTTCTCTTTCACAAATAAATTGTTTTCTAAAACTCGCCCAGTTGGTAGGAAAACAAGATTTTCCACAAAATACATTTGCAAAAATCAATCGTATCTGTCTTCTTGAAAAAGCAAGAGACCTTCTTCCTCCAGATCTCTTTCGCATAATTTATCGCAAGGTTGAAGACCATTATGATATCATTCGATATTATTATGAAACTCTACACGAAGATATCAATACCTTTGATATGCTTTATAATGGCAAACGAGTCCCTAAATTTGCCTTTTTTATCATTCCTGGCATAGACTGGTCCATGGAACCCATTGATTGGGGATTTGTAAACAAACTTACTTTCTCTTCTCATGATTCTTATCAACACTTCCCTGCCATGATAAAATACATGATTTACAAAGTAAGCAAGAGATGGAACTACAGCCGCCATCTTACTTTTTGGATTTCCAGTTCCATTGGTAGTCGAGAAAAAACTCGATTCTTTTAACCTTATCAAATATGGTATCTCAAACTCACCGCACATGATGAGTACGAGCATAATCTCCTCCTAAATTCCGAAGAACTTGCTAACAGTATTGTTCCATATTACTTCGAAATTCACAGTTTTTTACACCTATAAGACACTGCAAGACGTCTTCTTAATGGCTCTTATTACAATCAAGAACCTGTCTTTTATTGTTGTGACGGACGCAGACTCTTTGTCACTACAATCACTTGTTATTATGGTGATGATATGAATGGTGAACACCAGATTCAGACTGCTATAGCATTTTTAAAAGAAATCATTAGCATGACTACACTTGATATCCCTCCCGTGTTAAAGATGGCGCCGAACGCCTTAATCTTGAATGGGATATTGCGGATGCACAATCACCAGCTAGCACTCCTCCTCTTGATGAATATGAACTCCATAATATCATCAATGCAATGGAAGGGTAACGCTACCGACACTCGGTAACGCGACCGACCGACACTCTCTCCTCCACTCGACTGCACCTCATCCAGCACACGACAGAAAGAGTTGTCATGTCTACTTTTTCCAAAAGCAAAAGTAATCGAAAGCTGCCGACAAACTATTCATCAACAGTGAAAGTTGCCGACACTCACTTTTTCAAACAGTAAAAGAAAAGATTCATTCTTATCTTCTCCAGAACTGTTTACC